AGAGATTTTTTTTTTTGAGACAGAGTCTCGCTTTGTTGCCCACGCTAGAGTGAGTGCCGTGGCATCAGCCTAGCTCACAGCAACCTCAGACTCCTGGGCTCAAACAATCCTCCTGCCTCAGCCTCCAGAGTAGCTGGGACTACAGGCATGCGCCACCATGCCTGGCTAACGGGGTCTCCCTCTTGCTATGGCTGGTTTCGAACTCCTGACCTCAAGCAATCTGCCTGCTTTGGCCTCCCAGAGTGCTAGGATTACAGGCGTGAGCCATGGCGCCCGGCCCTAGGAGGTTTTCTTTGACCACTCAGATCCTGCCCCTGCTCCCTGTTAGGGGTAGAACAATTGGAGAAACAGGTAGTTGAAAGGATGCCACCCAGGGCACTGGCACCTAAACCACGGCGAAGAAGAGCTTCTTACGTTTAAATCTCCAGGAGGAGATTTTTTTGAATGGCCCTCCATGATCCTGTAACTCCTGTTTTTAGTTTATGGAACGATTCTTTTTATATTATATTGTATCGTTTACTCAAATCAGATAATTCATTTACTTCATGCTACTTTGCCTACTGTATATTTTGATCTTCCCTGATCTTACTTCTGGAAGTGCATTCCCAGTACTGTGTCATTATGGCATCATTCCCAATTCCGTCACTTACTAAAGTGATGTGACTTTGGGCAAGTTGTTTAGCTAATTTGAGCCTGTTTCCTAAACTTTAGAAAAGGGATAATTGTGTATGCATAAATATATACACATATACTTTATAGGGTTGTGAGGATTCAATATAATAATTTATAATTATATAAATTGGCTGGCTCACAGAACACCCTCAGAAATGTTTATTCTTTGTCTTATTATTTAAAGCCTTTTCTGATATTGCTAGAACCTTTGCAATCTGATAAAGAATAGATGCATTCATTCATCCATCCAACAAGTATCTATTTAGCGAATGCCAAATATTGAGGGTTGGTGCTAGGCATACAAACAATTTATATAAAACACAGTCCACGCCATCGAAGCATTAACAGTCTAATAAGGAACTTCACTAGGATTACAGGCGTGAAAATTTAACAAATATTTATTGAGTACCTACTATGTCTGAGGTGCTCTTGGAATAAAGTAAAGCACAGATTCTATTAATAGGTTTGTTAAGAAAAACTATTACCTATCAGTGAGAAAGAATGTTAGAATCTAAATCTTGATGAACTGAGAATATTAGTATATTTTCTGGTAGATATATTAGGCTGCCTAATATTTTTAAAATATTAACAGTAATGATAGTCTCTTCCCAGGTTTCTGGCAAGGATAAATTATATGCCATAATAGAATATAGATATTTTCTTTTTAAGACTTAGTCAAGTCTTTCACTTGACTCTGAATCTATATTTTTGGTCAGGCGTTACGTGCTCATTTATATTTCACTGAGAAAAACATTTAAGGTACAGAAGTAAAGAAGAGGACACCATTTAAGTCATTTTACTCTTTTCAGAACGTTAATAGGAATTATATCCTTATCTTGAATTGACTCCATAATGTTTCTTCTTCAATACCATACAGACTTGTGAAGATTTATTAAGGACTAATGAATAATGGCATAATAATGCATTATAAGGTACTTCAAACAATTCTAAGTACAATAACAATGGTCTCAAAATGCTTTTGTAATGGCAGTTATCATCAAGACTGAAATATTGCAATTAGGTCCCCCTGCTTCTGGGAATCATCTCAGGAATAATTAGACTTCCAGTTACAATTATATCTATTCTCATCATTTAACTTTTATAACTTGAAATCATGTGATAAATCTTTGTTTTTGTAATTGAGGCTTCATTGGAGGAATTTTTAAAGGTCACTTAGCTAAAATTATAGGGATAAAAAAGATATTTAACATCATTATTATTATCTTAATTAGCACTATTAAGTAGAGCTATTATTAACTCTTTAAAATCTATTAACTGATACAAGTCCAGATAATAAGAAATTTTCTGTTTATTCTTTGCAACACTTAGCAGACCTCTAATATTCAGATTAGACTATGAATGTTGGCGCTCAAAATTAAGGTTTTAATGGTTGTCTGTGTACTAATTAATTTATTCATTTTTTTCTGTATACAGGCATATTATATTCAATTGTGTTCTTACCTCACAATGTTTTTTAAATTGTTTTTGAAAATGTATAACACTTTACATCTATATATACTCTGTCTTTAAAAATAATTCCAATAAGAAATATTAATACATATAGCCCTTATTATTTTATTTGATCGAATCATTCACTGCACCATGATAATCTGGTGGTTATTGTGAAAAAGAATTATTAGTCTAGAAACGTTGTGGTGGAGAATATTTAAAAGTCTTATAAAAATAAGGTTATATAGGGGGACAACATGCCTGTTCTTAACTCCAATGCAGTTTATGCAAAAAAAGTTTTTTTAAGTTCAAATGAGAGATTAGGAAGATGTACCATTTCAAGTCGGGTTTATACAGGCTAATGCTATTTTTTGTACATTTTTGAATGAATTACTTTGGTCTGGGAGAAATCCAATGTAGATTTTTGTTTTCTGTCACACTTTGGCATTTGCCATTGACTTTTACAAGGCTGGATCATTCAGACAGCTGTGCCTCTATTAGGCGCATCAGATGAAAATCAGAATTCTTTCAGCCCAAGTTTCCAAAGGCTAGTTCAGAGAAAAAAGAGAAAATTCCTTCTAGAATACATTTGGATTTCCTTCACTATGATGTGAGATTCCGCTTAGAACAAATGGAGAAAGCTGAAACAGATTGACCATAAAACTTTATTTTTCTGGAGGCAAGAAAGATAAATTAACCAATACGAAATATATAAATTGACTTCTGTTTTCCTTTCTTCTTACTATGTTTTGCCTTTCCAGCCCAAGATGAAGATGAAGATGAAAGGATTGTTCTTGTTGACAACAAATGCAAGTGTGCCCGGATTACTTCCAGGATCATCCGGTCTGCTGAAGACCCTAACGAGGACATTGTGGAAAGAAACATCCGAATTGTGTATGTGGCATTCCGTATGTCCTTTGTTCCTGTTGTAAGCAGAGATGCTTTCTGATATTTATCATTTTTTGAATGTAATACCTATATCTTTACTGCCCCTTTTGATGTGTAGCATGAGGTTACATGACGTTGAACCTTACATGAGGTTCAATCTTGTTAATGAGCTTGAGGCAATTTTGCAGAAGTTGCGGGCAAGAATAGAGGATTCCAGGCAATCTAAAACCAGTTGGGTAGACCAAATTATAACTGAAGGCACCGATATAGTCATCAACATACCCTGTTTGCAGGGAGTTATTTCAATATGAATCAGAACTTTCAGTTGCCTTTGATCAGTTTAAACTGAAACTTAAGATAACACTAAAAACCTTACTTTGTACCATATATGGACTACTGGGTATTTTACAGTACTCAAATATCCGTATAAAGATTGGGCAAACTGATCAAATTGACTAGTTTGATTTCATTTTCACTTGTAGGTTGGACTTCAGATATTCATTTCATTTCACATATAGTCCAGAGTTATATGCTATGTATTGAATAGCTCCCATTCAATAGCAAGAATGCTAATACTATTTGTGAAATAAGATTACTATTTGATCTAATCAGTAATAAGTTTTCCTTTTGAACCACTCTTACCTTAATAGTTGTCCCCCAATCAAATACCTCTTATAGAAAGAGAACATAGCATTTAATACCATTCATTCAATGGGAAAAGTATAATGTGTTTAAGAATTTTGTTTTAAGTTCTGGCTTGGTCTGTTAATAACTGTGTGTTCTTATATGCAGTTACTTATCCATCCTAAACTTCAAATTTCCTATCTTTTTTTTTTTTAATTATTTTTGAGAATGAGTCTCGCCTGTTGTCGCCAGCGAGGTGCTGTGGCGCAGCCTAGCTCACAGCAACCTCAAATTCCTGCTCAAGCAATCTTCCTGCCTCAGCCTCCGAGTAGCTGGACTACAGCATGCGCCACCATGCCTGGCTAATTTTCTATTTTAGTTGTTCTAATCTTTTCTATTTATAGTAGAGACAAGGTCTTGCTCTTGCTCAGGCTGGTCTCGAACTCCTGATCTTGAGCGATCCTTCTGCCTCAGCCTCCCAGAGTGCTAGGATGACAGGCGTGAGCCATCACACCTGGCCTAAATTTCCTATCTCTAAATAGGGGAAAAAATCATGCCTACCTCATAGGGTTATCATAAAAATAAATTGAGAATATTTATGCTTTACAACTTATATATTTCTGCACATATTTAAAATTGCTATTATCTATCACTTAATCTACGTGCCTGTGAGCCATCACTATTCTGCTTAAAACCTTTTTGGTGGTTTCCCCAACAGTGTTCTCAGAATGTATTACAAACGCCTTGCCTAACCAAAGTTAGCGCAACTCTCAAGATCATCCATTGCCCACTTTTCTTTTACTTATTATTTAGAATCCGGCAATTCTGTCGTGTCTTTTTCCTGCCCATTCCAGTACCTCTCCCTTCCGTTCTTTACACCTGTTAGCTCCTCGTGTGAAGAGCTCTCTTCCCACCCCCTCCAGCCTCCTTAACTCCTTAGCAGTCTTAGTTTATCATCATTATTCTAGCAGGTTTCTTTCTTTTTTTTTTTTGACAGAGTCTCGTTTGCTTGCCCACGCTAGAGTGGAGTGCCGTGGCATCAGCCTAGCTCACAGACCCAGACTCCTGGGCTCAAACAATCCTCTGCCCAGCTCCCAGAGTAGTCTGGACTACAGGCATGCGCCACCTATGCCTGCTAACGGTCTCCCTCCTTGCTATGGCTGTGTTTCGATCCTGACCTTCAAAGCAATTTTCTGCCTGCTTGCTCCCAGAGTGGCTAGGATTACAGGCGTGAAGCCATGGCGCCGCGGCCCTAGGAGCGTTTTCTTTGACCACATCAGACCTGCCCGCTCCCTGTTATGCGGTAGAACAATTGGAAACAGTAGTTGATAAAGGATGCCACCCAGGGCACTGGCACTAACACCGGCGAAGAAGCTTCTTTGACGTTAAATCTCACAGGAGGAGATTTTTGAAGGGCCCTCCATGATTCATGTAACTCCTGTTTTTATTTTATGAACGATTCTTTTTTATTTATATTGTATCGTTTACTCAATCAGATAATGTCATTTACTTATGCTACTTGCCTACTGTATAGTTGATCTTCCTGACTTACTTCTGGAAGTGCATTCCAGTACTGTGTCATTAGGCATCATTCCGCAATTCCGTTCCTATCTAATTGATGTGACTTTGGGCAAGTTGTTTGTATTTCGAGCTGTTTTCTCAAAATTAGAAAAGGGATAATTTATGTAGTATGCATAAATATATACAATTATATTAAGGGTTGTGAGGATTCAATATAATATTTATATTATTAAATGGCTGCTCACAGATACACCTCGAAATGTTTTTTATTCCTGTCTTATATTTAAGCCTTTCTGAATATGCTGACCTTTGCAATCTGATAAAGAATAGATGCATTCATTCCTCCATCCACAATTTCTATTAGCGAATGCCAGATATTGAGGGCTGTGATGCATAGACACAATTTAATAAAACAGTCCACGCCATCGAAGCATTAACGTCTAATAAGGACTCAAAGATCAAAAGCGCAATTACCATACTCATCGTTAAATACTGGACAGGATAAGACATAGGATGTTACAGGGACACTTAGGAAGGACGACCAGTCCATTCTTCAGGTGGAGCACAAGGGCGGCAGTGGGAAGCAGGAAAGGGTGTTTTGAGGAAGTGGTGGAATGGACGATGGCTGTTGGCCAAACAGGACTTAACTGGGCAACTGTGCGGGAAGTGACAGTGTTAATAGGTGGGGCAGGTCATTCCAGGAAAAGAAAACAGGGTTGCTGGGAGGATCGTATGATATCATCATGTAACATGCTTAGCGTCCCACCCGGCACACTGTAAGTACTTAGTATATGTTAGAACCCTTACCGTCTTTGTTACTGTTACAATCTGGGAATAAGAAAGGCAAGGGACGTTTGTGACATTGCCAGCAGTTGTTTACAGCTGGTACCTATCAGGGAGAAGGTAGCACAGTGAGGGATGAGGCTGGAGAGTGAGGGGTATATAAGAAAGGCTTTCTATGCCATTTTAAAGGTACCCTGTTATCTGTGGGGGGACACTGTTGGTTTTAAGCAGAGAAGGACACCAGGACTTGCATTTTAGAAAGGCTACTTTGGGGCCGGGCGAGGTGGCTCACGACTGTAATCCTAGCACTCTGGGAGGCCAGGGTGGGGGATTGCTCAAGGTCAGGAGTTCGAAACCAGCCTGAGCAAGAGTGAGACCCTGTCTCCACTAAAAATAGGAAGAAATTAATTGGCCAGCTAAAAATATATAGAAAAAATTAGCTGGGCATGGTGGCGCATGCCTATAGTCCCAGCTCCTCGGGAGGCTGAGGCAGGATTGCTTGAGCCCAGGAGTTTGAGGTTGCTGTGAGCTAGGCTGACGCTAGCCTGGGCAACAGAGTGAGACTCTGTCTCAACAACAACAAAAAAGAAAGGCTACTTTGGCAATAATGTAGTTAACACATTGGAGGGGTCAAGACAAAAGGAAGGTATTGCTACAATCTAGGAAAGGATCGATGGTGTCCTGAATTAAGGCAGAATAATGAGGAGAGAGACAAGTGGATGGATTTCACGCACGTAAAGAATTAGAATCGGCTGCACTGTGAGATTGATTAGATATAGGCCACGTTGGGGTGAGGATTCAGGGATGATCTCTCCAGGTTTTGGCTTGGATGCGTATGTGGATGGTGTTGGTAAACACTGATTTAGGAAACATGAGTTTTTCTTTGTTTCTTTTGGTAGGGAGGGGTGCATATGAGGAGGGGTGCTGACATAGATGGAAAAAATGTAAAAGTTAATGAAATCACCAGAACTAGTTGTTAATCATCTAATTTTTCATGGGACGTCACCATGAAAAACTTCCAGCTTTGCTTCTTAGTTGTTGTGTGAACTTGGGTAGGTCACTGACCTCTCTGATTTGTCATTTCCTCAGCTCTAAACTGTGGATAATCATAGCTGTCTGTTCATTTGACAAATATTGAACATATTCTATATGCCACACATCTAGCTAGGCACTGGGAATACATAAATGTTTTTGCATTAAGGAATTTATATAACCTGGGGCAGCAACCACTCTTTATAGAAGCAACTATGACATGGCTTTTGTTATAATAAATGTATTTGAGCATTAATGAGACTACAGAGAAAGAAGTTCATTGAGGGGTGGGGATGGGATCAAAGTGGTCATCGCAGAAGTAAAATGTGAGTTGATTTTTAAAGGAAAAATAGAAATTTGCCAAGTAAGCAAAGATAATTGACAGAAGAGTTGCTATGAGGTTTATATTGAATGAGGAGTATTTAAAATATAGCAAATCACCATAAAAATCTGAGTAATAGTATTCCTATAGAGTGTATATAGAATGCTCAATGTAATGATATGTACCGTTATTTTTTTTATTGTTTTATTTCATACTGTTCTAATGAAACAGTAAGTACTGTTCCAACAATATAGCTATTACCAAGAACAAGTGATAATCTGTGTTTCATTATTTTACTGTTTTCTTTCTTTCTTTTAGCGTTCCTCTGAACAGCAGGGAGAATATCTCTGATCCCACCTCACCACTGAGAACCAAATTTGAGTACCATTTGTCTGACCTGTAAGAGAAATTTTCCCTCATACTAATACAGATGTGGAAGTTAATAACTTTTAATTAAATGTGTTAGTAAGAATGTTTTGGAAAATATGTTGGGGTATAAATATTTACAAATATAATCTGAACCTTTGAATACGTTAATTCCTATGTTACTTATTAGGTATCATAAATTCACAAAAACTTTGTCACAGATACAAATTAGCTATAAATTTATTCCAAAGAAATTATTGCCATTCATAGAAGAAAAACCAAATTATCTTAAATAGTTCAAAGAGTGGATTTCATCTTATAAACATGCAGGTGTTTCTCTGAAAATGATATAATCCGATATCACTTCTTTAAAAAAAATTCCTTCCTCTCTTGTCACTATGAATAACTTGTTTAAACAAGTATACAGTTGAGAATAAGTCGAACACAATAGAAATTGCTATATGGTGTAGACAAAACAATCATAGGACTAATTATGTCGCTTACTTTCAACTAATTTTTCTGTATTAAAGGTTGAAAATCTCAACCTTTTGTAGAGCTGTTTAGGTCTGGAAGGAGTCATCCTTTGTTAGTTGTCAGGTCAGAGCTGCGAGAACTAATTGATTTGGGGTAGTAATGTGTAGTCACGCAGATTTTGAGACAGCTTTTGATGGGGATGGTCTAATGTGTGTATTTGTTTTTCAGCTGTAAAAAATGTGATCCTGTAGAAGTGGAACTGGAAAATCAGATAGTTACTGCCACCCAGAGCAACATCTGTGAAGAAGACAGCGCCACAGAGACCTGCTACACTTACAACAGAAACAAGTGCTACACGGCTATGCTCCCGTTCACCTACGGTGGAGTGACCAGGATGGTGGAAACGGCCTTGACCCCGGACTCCTGCTATCCCGACTAGCTCAGATCGCTGCTGACTGCACAACTCTTCCTCTTAAGGGCTCTCCATTTTGATCCAGAAGTTAATATATTTACAACCAGTGAACTTGAAACTAGAAATTTTTTTTTTTTGGATGCCATAAAACTAACTTTCTCCCCCAAATAATTTAAATGATAACATTGTTATCTTTATTAGAAAATTACTACTCAATCATGTATGTTCACACTCTAAACTTTAAAATTTGTCATTTATCATGTTTGCCTGAAGAGGTATACTTCCTTAAGAACACAGCTTCTGGCATTAAAAAAAAAATAGACAAGGGGAGAAAAATAAAACTCAAAGCGTAAAAATCAGGAGGCATAAGAAAATGTTACCTTTTTTTGGCTTTTGTCTTGGAGAACCGGAGCTTTTGCATTTTCTATACTATTCTCTTTGTAAAATGTTTCACTGTGTAGAGAAAGTATATATGTGTAAACATATTTCAATTATATATCTTCATTAGAAAAATAATTGGAAAAGATGTTTTAGAACTATTTATAAAAATAATTTAAAATGAGATCTCTAATATATATATGGTACCATTAGCTGAATTATCAAATGCTTAATTGAAAAATATATTTTGACATAACACACAGACTTGGAAGCAGATGACACAGATTTTTCTTTTTTTGATAACCAAGTTAGAATAAGAAATTTCCATCGGAAACCATCTATATTGTAACTGAATGTAATGAAATATGTATTCCAAAATATGTACTCTCTAGCACAGTTTGAACAATTAAATAGATTCATAAGCATATACCTGTGTGAAATAATTTATTGGGAAAAAGTTTGCCCATGTTAACTTTCTTGTAAGTTAAATATAACTTGTTATTGATGAACAGTTTGTAAGTACGATGTAATGATGTGTTAATCACGGAATTATACATGTACATATTGGAGGTGGCTTTGTCATTTTACACCTAAAATTAGATAAAAGGGCGAAGTTCCTCTTGATAAACACAGTGTCGATCATGGCACACAAAACTTCTTTATGGCAGGAAGCCAAGGCCAGCTAACACATATCAAAAGGTACTATGGAAAGTAGATGCTCACTCTGGGTTTAAAATAGTGGGAGTTTGATTAGTAAAAGTCAATTTCTTGAAAAGGCATTGTTTCCTTTTTTATAAAAAAAAGTCAACAGTCATTTTTGATAACTCCCACTTATTACTCATTGCTTCTTTAGGGGTATCGTGGGACATTCTGGCACTTTGGTAGGAATTGTAGTTTTGATGTACTAAAGTACTCCTTGGGAGCTGCGAGAACTATTTTTCAAGGTGCATATAACTCAAGCACAGAAAACAATAAAAATAACAACCTTTTCATTAAATTAAAAAGGATCATTTTGTTTTTGTAGTTATATTTCTATTTTCATAATAAAACACCATGGTCCCAAGGAAAACAAATTTTTTCCAGTGTGGCAGTCAATGTGTTAACACTTTAGCACTTACTATGTGCTAGGACCGATCTAAATGCTTTATAAATACGAACTCATTCAATGGAAATATGGAATAGCTGGCACCTCTTTAAATGAGAGTGACTGAAGAAAGATTAAAGCCTTCTTGTAAGTCTTACACATTTGCTGGTATTAGTAGAACATTTAGCAGGGGTACACTAAGGAATCAGTGTAGACGTGGCCATGAAATGAGCCTCTTGGTTCTCTCTGCAAGGAGTATAATTGACCTATGGCTCTAAGATCCATCACTGTGCTTGTGGAGGGTCACACTTTCTATGAGCTGCTCCAACCAATGATTATTGAATGTGACAGAGATACTGAGACAGGTCAGTTCCTGGGAAACTGACCCAATAGGGCACTGACTTGGGGACTCAAGTTCAGCTCTGCGGAACACTTCTTGGCACCATGACACCAGATATTACCTACTCAACCTGCCTTCCTATCCTCTTCCTTTCCTGCACGTGGGTCAGGCTCGAATCAGGCACTAATGACTCTCTCAGCCTTCTCTGACTTCCCGCCAATTTTCCCTGCCAGGTGTTTTCCCAATAAATCTTTTGCACCTCTACTCTCATCTTGCAATTCTGCAGGGCTCAAATTAACACAATAGCCAAATTACGATCTACCTGATTTAATGATGATAGCGATGACATTGAGTATTCTTCACATGCCAAAAGGTTTATTTATGTCATCTCATTTAATCCTTACAATAACTTTTGGGTATTTTATATTATAAATGAGAAAACCAACTCAATGAATGGATTATTAGCAATTTGAGTGGTTCATTTGTTTAGTAAGTGACAATGAAAACTCTGAATCACTCTGCTATAGCCTTAACAAAACAGATGAGGCTCTTAGACTACCAGTATGTCCACTGTAACATTTTCTTGTAGCTCATGTAGCATTTTGATGTTATGTGACCAATTCATTGACCTGTCACAAGTCTATTATAATTTTTGGACTTTCTGCCCTCCCTTTTAAATTTGCATTAAGTGGATGGCATTTTTAAAAGACAGACATATCCATTAGTCTATTGCCAGGAAAGAAAAAAATAAAAAAAATAAAAATAAAAAAAAAGACAGACATAACTAGGCACTATTGGTGAGAAATTTTTTTTTTCTGCATAATTCTTGACAATTTAGCCATTTGCCCGAGTAAACTCACTCAGCACCAGCCAGACAAAGATTATATTAATTAGAAATAAGAGTCATGCTTCTTTGTTACAGGCTTTTAGAAACCATTAGACCCAAGGTAAGCACTTAGTTTTCACTTTAAAACTATTGTCATTTTTAATGATTTTTCGTGACTTGATATGCAAGATGGACCATATTCACACTTCTGCAATCACAAATACGTATGTTCTCCCATAAGCAGATATGCACATACTTCCTGACCTAGGAGCAGTGGGTTAGGATAAGTACCCTGCAGTGAGCTTTCCTGATCTTGGATTTGGGATAGCATTGTTGTCTAGTGAATAAATCCATGGTCTAGGTTGGAACACAGATTATTTTTTTATTATTTTTATTTTAGCATATTATGGGGGAACAAGTGTTAAGGTTACATATATTGACCATGCCCCCATCTCCCGCCTCGAGTAAGAGCTTCAAGCGTGTCCATCCCCCAAATGTTGCACATCTCACTCATTGTGTTTGTATACACCCATCCCCTCCTCCCCCCTCCCGACACCCAATAAATGTTACTTCTGTATGTCCACTTAGGTGTTGATCCGTTAATACCAATTTGCTGGTGAGTACTTGTGGTGCTGGTTTTTCCATTCTTGGGATACTTCACTTAGTAGAATGGGTAGAACACAGATTTTAAGCAACTAAATGACACTGGGCAAGTTAATTCAATCTAAGATTGTTTCCTTATTTGAAAAATGGGAGTAAAAATAACTATGGTGGATTTTTATAAAAATAAGGATGCATACTGCATGTATGTATATATATATCAATTATCACTGCTGTTGTAGCAGTCAGCAGCACTCCGTAAATTGCAGTTGTTATTATGGGTTTATTGTCTTTTGGCTCTTCTCTGTGCTTACGTAACAAATCAGAAAAAACTGTAAATACATATTAGAGCAGTGATTCTTACATTTTAGTGTACATGAGAATCACCTGGAAGACTCGTTATAGTACATTGCTAAGCCTCGCCCCCAGATCTGCTGGTTCGGTAGTTCTGGGGTACAGCTGGAGAAATTGCAGTTCTTACAAATTCCCAGGTTCTGCTGCTTGGAATTGCTTGGAAGCCACTACTTTAGAATGATAACCCTCCACTCCCACCTAGTGGTTGAATTATGAAATGCAATGACTGTGCATTTTTGACCTGGATTGTCCATTTAATCCTCATAGAGCACCCTATAAAACAAGTATTCTCTTCACTTTACAAATGATGAAACTGAGATGGAAGGAGATGAAGTAACCTGTGTAAGGTTTTACAAGTAGTATATGGAGGACTGATAGTTCGATTTAAGGCTGTCAGACTCCAAAGCTATGCTCCCGTTTCCTATGTTATCCAGTCTACACTTTCAGACCGTCTTCCCCAGTAATTCCACTTCGAGGAAGTAACCAGAAATACGGACAAAACAGGATAGAGATATTTATCATAATATTATTTATAACAGTGAAAATTCATAGCAGACTTTAAGTCTATCATCAAGGGAATGGTAATATAGGTGTGTATACTTTAGAATATTTTACAGACAACAGAAATGAAATTTCAATTACTTTAAATTTTATGAGAATTGCTATATAATGTGAAGAGGAAAATGTAGGATATTGCATAAAAGAGTGACTTTAAGAACACCCCTCCCACATATACGTGAGAAAAAGTTTGCGGGAAAGAAGCCAAAATGTTTTTATTTGCTTTCTTTTACTTTTCAGTATATTAGTATATCCCAAATATTCTACACTGCCTGTATATTTTATAATTAGAAAAATGTTAATCATTATTAATTAATTTCTAATTTTAATCGATTATACTAATTCTGGGGACATTCTAAATTTTCATTCATTTGCATAATGTATTTAAAGAGCAAGTGATGTTTGTTTACATCTTTTTCGTGCTCAGCAGAGTACAAGCTGCTATGAGGGGAACATAGGAAGAATGAGAACTGGGTCTTACTTTCTAGAGTTTTCCTACTCTTTCTACAGGCAAAACTAACACAGGAAAAAGCACATGAGACAAATGTGTGATTAAATACTAAAGATGATGTGCTGTGAGCCTTCAGAGAAGCTAGAGGTGCTAGGGCTGGGGTAATCTTGGAGGAGCTGGTCACTGAATAGGGCCTTCACTGATGAAGAGTGAAAGCTTCTAGAACTACATGAGCCAGGCCAAGAAACAGGGAGAAGCATAACAGAAACGTAGGAAGAGAGACAGGACCAGCCTGTGCCTCTTTCTCTCTGTGTTCTCTACTGAATCTCACTTACATGCTTCATTTACATACATGCCCTCAGATTGGTGATACTCAGTGTTTTCAGTGGTCTAGATCTTCCTGTTCCTTCCCTGGTGAATGTGAAGCTGTCGCTTATTTATAGGAAACAGCCTGGCATTTTGCCACCCCAAATTTGGTCTACCGACTGGTAGAATCATCACCACCCGGGAACATATCAACACTACAGAATGCTGGGCCCGGCTCTAAATCTGCATTGCAACACAGTCCACAACCACAGACGCATTAAAACTCGCACATTGCAGGTGTGGCAGGCAACACTCTCACCAAATAGCCTGCACCCTAAAGGAGGCAGCTGCCAATGTGTTTTAACAACTGAGGGACTGACAAGGGCCTTCTCAGGCAAAATTTTCTACCATTTTCCTTCCCTAAATATGCCAAGGGTAGTTTCGCTCGGGAAAGTTGGACGATCTGGGAGGACTGCACATTAGCCTACGCTTGAAAAAAGAAATCTTTTTACCAGGGTTAGCCACAGCAAACAACTGCTTTATATAGTGCAGAAAGGGATGGAATAAGGATACTTGGATAAGCTCAGAGGTAATTACTGTCCAAGCTCTGGTGAGGTGCAGAAGCGAAGGGTTCTTGCGTGTTCAGACAGAGGAAATGGGGCTCCACGAGAGCAGAGGACCTTGTCCTGGGGAGGGAGGGAGACTGAGAACAGCCTCATCTATTTCTCAATTATGTCTGTATCCAGTCACCGCTCAGCTTCCTCTTTGCTTCTTCCTTTGAAGACTTCTCACCTGCCAGTATGGAATTTTGCTTCTTGCCAGCTGAATTCTGTTTCTAAATCTAACTGCCTATAAATTCAAAGCGAGAGGAAAATGTTCAGCAGCTGATGTTGTTGGATTATAGGTGAGGCGGAACAGCAAGGAAGAACAGGTGGACAAAACCAAATGCTGTATTCTACTGCAAAACGATGAACATCTATTTTCCACCATGTGAAGTTTTCTTCTGCATATAAATTGGGCAGTTGGCCTGAGCCACAGTGAAACACTTAAAAGTTTTGGGAAGGAGGGACCAAGCTGTTGATTTCAAGTCTGACATTTCTGGTTCCCTTTTTGGTTATTAGAAAGGAAGTCTGGTTTCCTGAGGTTGAGATGGATCTTTTCTCAGGTTACTTAAGGTCATGACTGAAGGGGATCGGGGTGAGTGAGAGAAGAGGAAACAAGTGGGCAGAGATATGATTAAACAAGTAATAAAAATAACTCAGAGGTCATTTCTTGTGAATTTTCTTTCAAGATGTATAAAATTAAGACTCTGATATGAGTGACCAAAGTAAAACATGTTATTTACATCTTTGGGTGCTCCAAAAAGCCAGAAGAAAATGTCTCCATGATAATCGCTACTAGCTAGAGTTTCTGGAGTTTCCTGGCTAGACCCTATATTGTACCATCCTACTTTGCTTTCTATATAAAGTGAGGAAGGACTAGATTTCTCTCAGTCACCTGGACCAATGTCCGGCTATCTTTTTTTTTTTTTTTTGAGGCAGAGTTTCCTTTTTTTTTTTTTGAGGCAGAGTCTCCTTTTGTTACAGTGAGTGCCGTGGCGTCAGCCTAGCTCACAGCAACCTCAAACTCCTGGGCTCAAGCAATCCTCCTGCCTCAGCCTCCCGAGTAGCTGGGACTACAGGCATGCGCCACCATGCCTGGCTAATTTTTTCTATATGTATTAGTTGGCCAATTAATTTTTTCCTATTTATAGTAGAGATGGGGTCTCGCTCTTGCTCAGGTTGGTTTTGAACTCCTGACCTCAAGCAATCCGCCTGCTTCAGCCTCCCGGAGTGCTAGGATTACAGGCATGAGCCACCACGCCCGGCCCTAGCTATCCTTTAGAGAAGTAGATTATAAACTGTGCTTATAAAGCAAGTATATGTCAGCCTCACTGGGTCATTCTTGTGTTTGTAAAACTCAGATATATATATTTTTACTTTATCAACTAAAGACATCACAGACTGTACGTATTTCAGGATCAGCAGATGGTAACCACTAGACATACAAACTTGCCACAGGAGTGGGGTAGTAGTGGTGGGATGGGGTCGCCCAAGGCAAGGGGGCTCACTTCCAGAGCATTCCATCTCCACTGTGTGTGCCTTAACTTGAGAGCAGACTTTGAGAACTCTAAACTCAATACCTGAGCCAGGATACACAGGATCATTAATTTCTTTACTGGACGGAGTTTAGGGCTGGTGTCCAGGCTTGCAAAAGCAGACCTGTGCTGATGAGATCAAGAGCCATTTTCCCCAGGGGAATTTCCCCTTGTTTTTCATGTATGTTCTCAAATTCAATAGATATTTTTGTCCCATCGTACTTTCTAATTTTACATTACAGAGGTCTCAGAGGATGATTTAAGAAGCAGTGCCTCATAGATTCAGATGTGTCAATACATCTGCCAAAACATCCACGAGACCCATGCATTTTGGTAAAATATAAAGTGAGTATCTTGCGATAAAGTATTCATATTGCGATTTCAAAAAAAATAATTTGGAGAAAAACCTAGTGAAATAATAACATAGTTTTATTTCGAGAGGATAATTCTTAAAAGACAGTTTTATACAGAATAAGTTAATGATTTTTCAATGTTTGATTGAAATATAAAACTGGCAGGGGGGAGGGGACTGTAAGCAACTAGTGGACGGCCTAGATGATCTGCCTCTAAAATCCCTTTTTATGCTGAAATTCTATGTTGCAAGTGTTACTGAATATAGACAGCTACAGAGTATGGTGGCTCATTTAACATCCCAGATAGTTCACCTGCAGGAAGAGTTTTTGTGGGTGTGTCAAAAGCCGTTCAAAAGTCGGTCAATCAATAAATATTTATTGAGTAACTTTTATATACAAGACACTGTGCTAGGTATTTTAGAAGATTCAAGGGCAATATTTTTTTTTGAAAGTTTTAAGGATTATATTTTCCCAAATTTCTGAGATCGTCTTAAGAAATCTGTCCTTGAAAATTTCTTCTAAGAAATTCCTTAAAGTTAGAAGGTAAGTTTTTAGGTTATTCTGAGAATTTTTCCCCTCTAGCAAGGGATATCCAGATAGTAGGCCAAAATGCCATTAATAATAATAATAATAAACCCAGATGTATTCTAAACAAGGCAATACAGAAATATCTACTTTACAAAATAATTTACACTATTTAATCAAAATACCAAGAAAGTGTGTCTGTGAATAATTCTACATGAGCATAAAGAATAAGTATGTTAGGAGTAGAACACGCTGGTGAAATCATATATGCTGAACTAGTAAAAAAAGCTAAACGTTGAGTGTTTTATTTGTTTAAGACAGTGTTTCCCCAAATGTCCTCTACCGATCTTGCAGACTATGAGTTGGTGACAGGGTGTGGCATGTCCTAGTCTTTTTTTTTCTGGATGCTCAGTCCTAGAGCAATAGTTTCTTCAGTTCTTCTTCCCCTACTTTTCTAAGCCTTTTCCTAGGCTGCTAGTTCTGTGTAACCATCCCTTCTCTATGTTCTTCTAACTCAGCTGTGTCCCTTGTAGAGGCCATAAGATAATTAAAAGCAGTTGTTGTTATAAGTGTCTATTATTTCTGAAATATATTCTAAAATGATGGCTAAGTTGGGTCAAGAAAAAAATTAGTGTAGAATTTAAAGAGTAGATACAAAAAGAGAGAGACACACATGTGGTCTTAAGATATAAAAATGGTATAGCAGAAAAAAAGACAAATTAAAGGAAGGAAAGCAGTCAGCGAAGAGAGGGATTCGTTTACAAGTGATACACTGGGAGATAGTGTAGACATGAAGACGAGTAGGGAGGAAGACAGAAGGAGGAGGTAGACTTCAAGAAAAGACTAGTTTTGGTCACAAACAGCTGGCTTAATATGTAATAAGTGATGGAGGGATAGAGAAAGATGGAGAAGAAAAGTAGAAAGCTAAATACAGAATGGTTGAGGGAGAAAGAAAAGAAGGAAGGAATCCAAGAAAGGGAACGATAAAGGTAATGAGAGTGGTCGTGGAAGAAAAAGATGCCCCAAAAGAATATCAAGTAGAAAAAACAACAACAACAAAAAACTGACAAGACCAACACAAGGAAAAAAAATGTACAGTACTTCAGGACTATACTAATGTGTAATCTTCACATGTAAAATGGAAAGTTCATCTATTTTTCAGTCTTGCAAAACCAGATAATTTTGCAAGTATGAAACTTTGAGGAAAAAAAGGAGAACTCAAGAATTCAAAAGAAAATTAACCCAGACAAGTCAACAAGTTTTGAGGTGGGGATAGGAGATGGTCATGGCCTTCCTGCCTTTTTTTTTTTTTTTTTTTTAGGTCTGCACTAGTTAGTGACAATGCTGGCCTGGTGACCCCCAGAGACCTAATCTCATTAGCTCCACCTGGGCCACTACTCCTATTGCTGGGAGGGGGAAAATCTCAAGGATCACCCAGAGGGTCAGATACTTAATTGAGTCTTGGGGAAAAATGCCTGGGAACCATTGGTGTAAAATATCAGTTATTTTCTTTCCTCCAAGAAACCTTGGTTGAAATAATCCTAGGCCTGAAGTAGTAAGCAGTCTTGAACCTGGTCCTGTGGATTGGTTCCCCTGGGAAGGGATTCAAATGGAGCGTGTTCATCTGCATTAAGTGGGCCTACATTTATACCCTTAAATTGTTCCCCAGTAGCTAACTCAGCCAGTGTGTTAGGATTTTCGGTAGGCATCATTGGATCCCCGTCAAATGGGCTTTGCCTTCCGTTGCTAGATGGAGTTCCCGCACTAGAAGAGCGACGCTTTGAGAATTTGGAGCCAAAGCATGGTAACTGCAGGATGCTAGAGGGTCTTTGCTGCTGCCTCTCACTCTCCTTTCCTTGGACTTCGCTCTGGAAGCCTTCTGCATCGGGGCCTTCGTCAGGGCTGCCAATAACTAGCTGCTCAGGAGTTAGGTCAACAGTTCTTTCATGGAGCTGGTTGTCTTCAAAAATTTGTTCCAGAACATTGTTCCCCTCTCCTCCAAGATCACTTTTGAGACAAGGTGTGTTCTTTGACTGAAGGGAACTGGCTTCAGGAAGGGGCATCAGGCCCCTTTGGGCCAGCTGATTCTTCATAGAACATGGCGTGCTCCTCCTTAGAGTGGATGTGTCATCTCTAAGAGGACTTGGGTCTTGGCTTTCCCCAGGAAGTCTCTTCTCTGAGCTGTTCCTTTGGCCAGGTAGGATGCTTGTCGGGGAGACTACATGTCTTGCATGTTTGGTATGGCCACCTTCCGTATACAAAGGGCTGGTGTCTTGGTTCTCCCCTGGCGCAAGACTGTAGGATGGAGTGTAGACTTGCAGAGCCAGGGGGTCATCCTTGGGCCCTGGGGAGCCACTGCCACAGCAGGATCCTCTCTGGCTCAGGTGAAATAAATGTGCTTCTTTTTGATGTGATGGGTAACTTTGAGGGATTACATCTGGGAAAGATAAATGTTTTCTTTCTGGCGAATTCAGCCTAGTAATTTGCATGCCATAGTTCAAATTCTCATCTTCATGCCATGTTGGATTTTTCTGAAGCCCAGCTGGGGAGTGACTAGAATAGGGCTGGTTCTCTTTCTGTTCTGGTGGAGAAGCTGGGGCTCTGTGTAAATTTGTTGCCTGATCCCAGAAATTTCTATAAAAATATGGCCCTCTTTCTTTCTGCCCTTGGGCTTGAATCCTGTGGTCCCAGGAGTTCTGTGAAGGAAATAAAGGGCTTTCTTCTTGTCTAACAGCACTGTTAGCATAGTAGCCCCGGCTCTCTATAGGTGGTGGTAGAGTAGGAGCTGTATTATATGATGGAAAATTCTCATCCGGGCTCCAGGGGTAAAATTCACCATAAGGAAAATCCTCCCTGGGTTTTGATGGATTATCTAGGGAATAGGGAAGATATTCCTTTGGTGGATTGGAGGTATGTTGCTCACCTTCATAGTGCCTCACTGTTGGGCCCCCTTTAAAGCTCAGCTCCTCACCCCATCTATTTTGTTCTGGAAAAGGTTCATCTCCAGTTGGATCAATCGGGTCCTCTTCATTATAAGGGACTGTCCCTTTCTGGTCTGGAGTATTTATGGGGTACAGTGGGTTTTCTTGTGGCCCCATAGTATTAGGAGAATCATCTCTCTCATCCCACATATTGTTTCTAAGGTATGGTGAGTTTTCCCTGGGACCATAGGGGTTATATTCAGGGTAGAAGACACTTCCCCGATAGCCATGGGAAGGATGAGGTAAATGTTCTTCCTGCCTTCCAAGATCTTCCTTAAAAGGTGGAGAGATTTCTTGGGGGTTCCAAGTATTTTTTCCAGCAGGAAAATGTCCCCTTGCAGGAGAAGGGATCTCCTCAGGGTATCCAGGCTGGTAAGTCCTGTGCTTCAGTTCTGGCTGCTGAGTTTCAGATTCGAACGGACTTCTTCTTGGCTCTAAAACAATCCCTTTGGGCAAATTCTGGCTTTGGGTCTGTCCATTAGAATTTGGGATTCTTGTGGAATCTCCTGTTTGGTAATAGGAGTTTTCACGTTGATCGACAGAATTAAAACTTGGGACTGGCATGTTACTTTCAGGGGGCGGCAGTTTGTAATTTGATTTATTAACTCCGTAATGCTGAGAGTTTCTCCAGGGGCCACTTGGCTCCTTTGTAGGGACGGCTACTCTCTGTTTTTGACCCAGTGGCTTCTCCCTTGGATTCTGGACTTTTTCATTGCGGTTCACGGTGCTGTGTTTGGGACCCAGTGTGGCCACATTGGTTCCCACAGGGTGCTTATTGGGTTCCTGAGGCTTTCTCCTGAGATTGGCGGGGTTTCCCGCGTAATTGGGATAGTGGCCTCCTGAAGTGGAAGGGTAAGCTCTGCGGTAAGGTGGATTCACGGGACGAGCCACCTGTTTGCTCTCCAGAGCAAAGGAGTGCCACCGGGGGACCCTCTGGAACTGCTGGCTGCGGTAAAGAGGCCCATTCTGCCTGCGCCCCACGGCAGTGCCAGCGGGGTACCACTGTCGCACCCAGGGGACATTTCGCGCGTTGGGGCTCGGGTAGCTTTCCCGGAGGGTGGGCTGGCTTGGTCTCCGCGGGGTCTGGGCTCCCGGCACCGCCGGGCCCGACGCGTTGCCCGCGGGCTGCGGGCCGCCCCCGCCCCCGACCCCGAGCCCGCCGCTCCCCGGGGGGCTGGTGTCGTTGCCCCCCGGGCCCGCCCTGGGGCTCGGCTGCGTGGAGTTAGTCTCCGTGACCGTCGAGTTGGCCGTGGGCTCTTTGGCCGGGCTCTCCGCTTTGGGAGGATCTTCCTCCTTCGGTTTTTCAAAGTCTTGTTCAAACATCTCTTCTGAATAGTAAGGAGGGCGACCTCCAAAGCCATGATATCCAAAATATCCGAAGTAGGGGTTCTGTAGGGAAGACGCGGAAATCAACGATTACTCCTTGTTTCCCACAGCGCTGCTTGCGGTGCTTGTGGTGGGATAGGGAAGGCTTTTTCTTTTCTTTTCTTTTTTTTGAGACAGAGTCTCACTCTATTGCCCAGGCTAGAGTGAGTGCCCTGGCGTCAGCCTAGCTCACAGCAACCTCAAACTCCTGGGCTCAAGCGATCCTCCTGCCTCAGCCTCCCAAGTAGCTGGGACTACAGGCATGCTCATGCCTGGCTCATTTTTTCTATACATATTAGTTGGCCAATTAATTTCTTTCTATTTTTAGTAGAGACGGGGTCTGGCTCTTGCTCAGGCTGGTTTTGAACTCCTGGCCTTGAGCAATCCTCCCCCCTCGGCCTCCCAGAGTGCTAGGATTACAGGCATGAGCCCCGCACCCAGTCGGGAAATCTTATCAGACTCATACTTCTTGTAACACCACTGGCTTTACTTTCTTTCTTGAAATTTGATTCCTCCTTGGTTTCCATGACCCTACTCCTTCTGGTTCTTTCTTCTGGTCCTCTTTCTGATCACTGCCTCTCAGCTTTACCTTTTTAGGGCTAATACTAAATCTGAGGGGTTTTTGCCTTCTAAAATTAAGGCATCCATCTTCTATCCTTCTCATTTTTCTGTTCTCATTTTACACACCTGCCTAAACGATCTATTGCAGGCTAACACTTTCAGCGTGGACAGGTGCTGATGACTCCCGAAGGCATAACGTTGGCCCGTGACACTCTCTCTTTCGTGAGTCCCTCCAACTGAATGCACCCAGCCCTGGGCTCCTCTCCCCTCAAACATCTTCTCTGATATTCAGTATTTAAACAACATTCACCATTATCTACCCAGTTTCCCAAGTTTCTGCTCTCTCCCATATCTCCCTAGACAATTAATGACCCAGTCCCATAAAATCTCAACTTTCATTCTTGTCCCCTCTTCCTTTATCCTCAGTACCCCTCAACCATTCCAACATTTTTCTTCCTGGTTGCTCCCTGTATAATCTTACTTTCTGCTAATCTTGCCTCTCTGCTGCCATGGCGGGGGCGGGTGGGGGTGTGTATGCGGAAATTCCGCCACTTTCCTCTTGAAATATGTATTTAAGATTCTCCTTTATAGGATAAACTCCAATCCCCTTAGCATGACATACAAAGCAGTAGAGCATAGTGCCACACGGTGGGGCTGTGGACAGATGTGGATTAAAATCCCTGTTCCACCCGTATTAACAGTATGATGCGGAGCTAACCTTGGTTTATTCATTTGTAATATGGAGATAATAATAAAATAATGACCACCTCATAGGTTGTCATGAGGGTCCAAAGAGTAAAGTTTAGTGCCTGGGACTTAGTAAGTGCCTAGTAAGTATTATGTAATAATAATAATAATTTTGATAACTATCTGGGCTATAACCATTACATTCCACCTCATTTCCTCAACCTTGTGCTTTTTTTTTTTTTTGAGACAGTCTCACTTTGTTGCCCAGGCTAGAGTGCCATGGCATCAGCCTAGCTTACAACAACTTCAAACTCCTGGGCTCAGGCGATCCTTCTTCCTCAACCTCCCGAGTAACCCAGCTAATTATATATATATGTGTGTGTGTGTGTGTGTGTATATTTAGTTGTCTAGTTAATTTGTTTCTATTTTTTAGTAGAGACGGGGGTCTCGCTCTTGCTCAGGCTGTTCTCGAACTCCTGAGCTCAAATGATCCTCCCACCTCGGCCTCCCAGAGTGCTAGGATTATAGGCGTGAGCCACCGCTCTCAGCCCAACCTTGTGCTTTCCTCAGTTGCAAATCACAACTACTACTAGTTCTCTGAGTTCTCTATTCTCTTTACCTGTCTTTATGTTTCAGCCTTTGAACATGGCTTCTCCTCCACCTACACATTAACCCTCTGGACAAACTCGACTCATCCTTCAGGACTCAGCTGACTGCCACCTTCTGTGTCCTGACTTCCATGGGCAGAATCAGGTTCCAACCCCCGGTGTCCACAGCAGTAGAGACTTTGGACACAGTGATATCCCCATGAATTTCAGTTGCCTATTTTCCTGGGATTCTCCCACTTTATTCTCCTATGTAAAATTTTTGAGCGAAAACATTATGCTTCTTATCCTTGTTTTCTAGCACAGTGGGAAGTGATTAATACATTTGTGTTTAATGAATGACTTAATTATCATGAGCTCTATTAGTCAGTATGTCTGTTAGACATTTGTGTGCCATTTAGGTCATTTAGTTTTTCTTTTAAAACAAATATAATCTAGAGAAAAAGTGTTTTTTATCCCCATTTGTGAGTGGAGATGATGAGACAGACAGGTGAGCTATCTACAGCATCATACAGGAAATTGGGCAGTGTCCTCAAGAGGTAGGATGTAGACATCTTCATGCCTATGGTAACTATGGTAACTGCCTGGGTCATTCTGATTTGCTTTCTCGCGTTACACTTATGAAAATTTGAAATGCTGGTTTCTAGGTTGCATACAATTAACCTGAACCATTTTTATTTGGGATTGTTTCACAATGATATCTTTGAAAGCACCTATGCCATTACTGACAAAGTAATCTTCAATGTCATTATTTTTTTTTTTTTTTTTTTTTGAGACAGCGTCTCGCTTTGTTGCCCAGGCTAGAGTGAGTGCCATGGCGTCAGCCTAGCTCACAGCAACCTCAAACTCCTGGGCTCAAGCAATCCTGCTGCCTCAGCCTCCCGAGTAGCTGGGACTACAGGCATGAGCCACCATGCCCAGCTAATTTTTTACATAGATATATCAGTTGGCCAATTAATTTCTTTCTATTTATAGTAGAGACGGGGTCTCGCTCTTGCTCAGGCTGGTTTTGAACTCCTGACCTTGAGCAATCCGCCCGCCTCGGCCTCCCAAGAGCTAGGATTACAGGCGTGAGCCACTGCGCCCGGCCTTCAATGTCATTATTTTGAGAACAACCCCTCCTATCCTCCCAGCCAAACTATGGAATTTCCACATTTCTCTGAGGACATATCACGCATTTAGTGAAAAAGAGGAAGTAAGCTCCAGGGATGGGTGTTATGCCACAATCACTAACACGGCGACAGTGCCATAACATTTTAAGAGCATATGACTCTGCGGCATGCATTTGACTCTTCTCCTAGTGCTGTATGGTGAAAAAGCCACTGGACAGGGTATCAGGAAACTTTTGTTCCGGGTCCAGGTTATCTAGTAACTGGGTAGGTGAAATTGAATAATAATTTATCTTCTCCAGGTTTCATTTTGTTTGTACTACAAAGGAGTTATCTGATCACTGAATTCCTTCCTGAGGATAACAGTCTAAGATGACCTTATGCACCTATTTGTTTATCATTATCTAGAATCCAGCATTGATCTTTGGGTCACTGGCTTGATTTGTTTCACCTTTTTATCTTTAAAAAATCTTGGGAGCTTGAGCTCCAGGTTCCTGTGTTGGATTTTAACTTTCTTATTGGATATGGATGAAAAACCAGGGACTAATAGATTATAATTCCTAATAGGGAAGGTAGCTTTACTCCTACTTACCCCCCCTTCTTCGTTGCTGGCTGGTGGGCGTCCATAACCTGGCGGCGGCGGCAGCCTCTGAAAAGTAAAGAGCACAATGAGCACGAGAGAAAACCACTTTCTGTGCCACCATTTGTTTGTAAGACTGCAAGGAGTCTAAAAACAGCTCAAGTTAGTGACTGGGTGTTAGCACCATGAGCTTTTAGCCTCTGAGTCACTAGCTATCAGAGTCTAAGTATTAAGAGTTAAGATCCAACAGTGAATGCTGGTGCATACAAAGGCTTCAGCTGAATCCTAGATTATCTTCCTTAAAACATGCTGTATGGCTGCATCTCCTAGTAATCACTCCGCCTTACTACTTCCAGCACTCAAAAAAATTCCCACCCCCTACAAATACAACCCCTCCCCCACACATACACACAGAGTAAGAGAGAGAGATTTGAGTGCTGTTCGGATCCAAATATCCGTATTAGAACATCTAATAATAAAGATTAAATAATGATATTACTTTCAGAATGCCTGCTTCATAGTTAGGGTGACAAACTGACAATCCTTCTTGGATTGTTACTATAACATTTTTATTTGAACAAGGTTAATTTCCCTGTTCAAAGTTGGAGGTGGGGTTTCTGCTTAGGGATTGCTACCCAGTGAGAAGGTTTAGGAAAGCAGTTTGGTTCCTGTGGATTTTTAAGAAGTTTTTTGTAGATGAGATTAACAGTTACTTCAGCCTAAGAATCATGTTTATTTGCTTTTACAATCTTTACCTGGTACTGTTTTAGTTTCCTTGTTTCAGTATGGGCAGTAAAAGGAAGTCACTCTTAAGGAAAAAAAGTAAGGAACTCTTAACTCCTTGAAATAAATTGTTCCTTGTTGGTAAAAAGCCTTCTTGGTTACAGAGTTGTGGAAAAGAAAAAAAGTTATGTCATAGCTGAATGAACCATCATCAAATATTTCTTGTTTTGTTTGTTGAACAGCAATTGGCCTTTACTAGTTCTTTAGTCTAAAAATTTATTGTGCCATTCATATTTTTAATGTCTATGTTGTAATTTCAATCTTATGTTTTAGTGATTTTAAACTTCAAAGGATTCTTTAAGCATTCTTATAAATACTATTTTGCAAGATTATTTATAAGGATGTATCTGTGGCTAGAAACAGTAAGATATGATGGAAATATCTTAGTCTAATCATAGCTTACCTTGTAGTTTTCAAGCTCCATTTTGTCCCAATTTCTTCATTACATTAAATGAGGATAATCTGTGGTTTTCTAATCGCTTAAGGAAGCGGGGGTCTAGTAATGAAGTAGCACACCTTTTAAGATTAATTTATTAACTAAGTTATTCATATCTGTTTGGGGATTTAGGCTGTGTTCATGTCACCAATTTGAGTATAAAATTCATTCAAAAATTTTTTCCTGCGTGATTACTGATGTGATGATCTTGTTTCATACTCTCTGCCAATTGGGATGTGGCATTCCATTAGAGTGTATGAATTTAGATTAATTTAAAATATAACATTCTAATATTATTTTTCACTTCTAGAGTAAAAATAATTCTCACCTGTGGGATTTGCCATGGTGGCTGATGATAGGGGAATAGCCCGTTGCCGAATGATGGGAATGCCTAGGGACAAAGAGAGTCAGAGTGAAGTGGAATTGGGAAGCAATCCACCCGCCTCGGCCTCCAGAGAGCTAGGGTTACAGGCATAAGCCACCGCACCCGGCCTATATTCTTAAACTCGTTTCATCCACCCATAATCATAGAAGAGACATACTATTATATTTTTCCCATTTTTACTTAAGAATATTAAGTTCAGAGAAGTTAAGTCACTTTCCCAAAATATCCTAGCTAGGGAATGATTGAAACCAGCATTCAAATCCAGGAGTGTCTTTTTATTCAATTATGTATTCCCTACTTCAATAATAGTGTCTGGAAATAAATATTAACTGCCAGTAAAATATTAAATATAAAATTATAAAGCCAGTAGTTTTGAGGCGCCACACTGATGAGAGCCTGAGAAACCATTTGCTCATCTTCGGGCCTTACGTGAGGACGACACTTACGTAGTCCTGACGCACTGGGAGCAATGTTAATTTCAGAGCAGTAGTTTAGATCATCAAAGCATAGCTCTGGACGAGACTTAGAAACCATTTAGTTTACTCCTGGGGAAACCAGAATCTAGAAAGACGAGTGACTTGTTTAACACACTACAGTTAATAAGGGCTGGGGGTGGAACTTGAACATTTGCTTATTGACTCTCAGATTACTGCTCATGTTATTACACCATGTTATGTTGCCTTTGTATTTGAAAAGGAACTTCTCTAAGGCAACAATATTTGGGTAATTTTGAATCAAACAAGGCTGGAGTTGACTTGCCACGAAGGGTTGGGTCAGTGTCAAAAAAAAAAAGACAGTATTGCCACATAACAGTACCTATATTGAGGAGTTCTGCAGCAAGTGTGTATGGGGCAGTGGGGGGTGGGCCTTGCCCCCCATGTCCCTCTGAGGCCATTCATGGCTCTGATTTGGAATTTTTCTGGGCGAGCCTCACCTGAGGTGGCTGGTCCTCTTCTTTGGGCTCAGTTGGGGCTTGCGGTGGCTGCTTCAAAGGCCGCTTTTGCGGTGGCTTTTTTGGCTGCGTCTGGTTGGGTTTCTGAGTCTCTTGGGTTGGGTCAGTCTTGCTCTGGCGCTTGGATGCTGAGGGTTGGTGTGGCTGCCACGTGTTTGGTGGGGGCTGAGGCCACATGGGCATCTGGTACTGTGGGAACTGCGGAGGGGGCTGCAAGCCATTACCATACATCGGCCCAAAATGCCCCATCTGAAAGGGAAGCAAGAACAGTGAGATTACACCAGGGTTGAGATTCAGTCTCTCCCCGTCTTCTCACGTCGACCTCTAGAACTCAGCCAAGGAGCTTAAAAATCCTATGCAACTTGACTCAACAATGCAAGCTTCAAGATCTTTAGCTAGAATTTCTTTAAATGTTGTCTTATAGAAATGAACTCCAGTCTTCCAGAAAGCCAAACAACTGAACAAACCGAAAGGCGGAATTAGATGAGAAATTTCAGTTTAAGAATTTGACTGATGATTTTCTAACTCTACAACTCTGACTCAGGTAATAAGTGTACAGGGGGTGTAAGGTTACAGAGGGTTTAATGTCAAGTTCAGAACCCAGGTGACTTGTTCTGAATAAAGAGGAGAAAAAACAAAACTAAGATGAAGGAAGTGAGACTATAAAGCAAAAACAAACAACAACAACAAAAAACCAATAAGAAAAGAAAAAGAGAATAAAAATTCAATCTGTGTAAACATACTTATATGGTGCCTATGCTTCTTGGTTTACAGATGAATCTTCATTAATTCTGTTTTCATTATCAGAATCCCGACAATTACAAGATTGGGCAGGGAAGGAAAAGTAGTTATAATCTGAAAATGCTAATTGATGAATTTATGACAATTTATGAACTATCAGTCTTATGCCATCAGTTCCCATTCAAACATTTCCTCCTTGGTTTAATACCTGTCTCTATCCCCAGTTCTCAGTAATTAGTCTCTTGCTACCTATTGGATGATGTGCCCATGATATGTGATTGATAAAAGACAAAATTGCAAATCTTGCATCAAGATGCTGAATTTCACGGTGATTAAGTTGGTGAAAATTTCAAATCACAGGTAAAGTCACCAAAATCAAGAAAGAGGGTTTAAAAAAGCTGGACCAATCAAAAGTTGAGGAAGAGAAAATTGACAATGATGATGATTTTAGGCAAGGAGATTTAAAAGAGACTCACTTGAATAAAAAGGATTAAGAGAAAATTGATGAAGTCCTTGATGTTTCCCCTAAAATGGTACTGATGATCATGCCATGAAAGTCAAAAGTGATGTTGTATTATTGTGCTATCATTCAATTTTGTTAGAAAAATTATACCAGAAGACCCAACTGATACTTGATTCATTATTAGTTTATTCTGAAATTAGCACACAGTGACAAGAATAACCTACATGTATTTAAATAACATAAAAAACTTACTTCATAATTTTAGTATTATCATTTAAAATAATCCAAATAAAATTTACCCCCCACCAGTATTTACTATATAATTTTTTTTGTCCTCACTTGTGAAATCTTTTGTGGGATATTTTTACAGAACCAATTTTTCTTGGATAGATATATATAATTTTTCTTATAATTAACAAATTACTTTGATGTGCATGAAAGAACAATGAATAAGGAGAATATTTGGTATGAGGGAACAGCTGAAAGGATTTTTCTCCCCTTGAAACTCTTATAATGATTATATTATAATTAATACATGTAGATTGATGTCTCTATTAGCTAAGACAAAGCTTATAATAGAGCTATCTGGGTACAAACAAGAAATCATCTGAAACAACATAAAGAGGAACTTACATGTGGGGAGTTCAGAAAGTTGAATTGACCATATCGCATCATCTGCAACCAAATGGACCCATTATTGTGAAAATTTTCTTCAATCAACCCACAAATCATAAGAAATAAGTTAAATTTCGAATTTTAAAGCACAACAGTCATAATGTCTTATACTAGTTATGCATGAATGTAAAATAAATGTACAACTAAAGAAATTTCTAGAAAACTTTAATTTTTAAGTCAGAATTTTATTTTGAGAAGAATCAATATAAAATAATAGAATATGAAAATCTGGTCTACTTTGAAGTATTTGAATGTTCTGTTCTATTCTTTTGGAGTTTACGATTTGAGAACATGAAAACTATGTGACAAGATGATTTTTCTTTTTGATGTGTATTGAATTTGCTTAATGATCCTGGGTGGGATATTTACATTTACATTTACATTACATTTTAAAGATATTTACATTTTTAAACTTCTACCTTCTAATAATAACCTTTGGTATAAATAGCTACCTATGCCAGCTAAAAAACTTATCAAAGAAGCTAACAAGTAGATTTTACCATACATCCACCTTTACCTTAAACATGAGCATTTAAGTGCATAGGTAGGATGATAGTGGGGACATTACTACTTTGCCTTGATTTGAGAGTTTTAAGATTTTCTTATTCATTTACTTATTTTGTTGTTAGAGTCAGGGTCTTGCTCTGTCATCCAGGCTGGAGTGCAGTGGCACAATCTTAGCTGACCACAGCCTCAAACTCCTGAGCTCAAGGGATCCTCCCACCTCAGCCTCCCGAGTCTAAAACTTGAAATACTCTCTCCCTTTATCGCTTTCATAAGATATTTTACATACATATTTTCCAATATCCTCCTATCGTAGAAACTTCTAGGATAGGACTCTAGAAAACTCCCCTGAGTCTGAAGGTACATACCTCCTCACTTTTACTGCTAAATCCAGGCATTCGGGGCATGTGCATCTGGAAGGGAGAGAAGAACAGTGACAGATGCACAGTGTCAATGGACATAAGCTCTACAGTTGTCTCCAAGCTACACAATGATGGAACACAAAGAAAAGGCCTAACATTTAAACAATACTCACTGGCATAGCAATGGAATTGCCAAGCAGACCTAGAAAGACCAGGAGAATCTTCATTTTTCCTCTTGGTACCTGGAATACAAAACTGAATTTAACTTTGGACTGTGAAATAATTATGCTTAGGGCACTCTGCACTTATCTAGATACTAATCCACTTGTCTGTCAAGGAGAGTACAGAGATAGCACATTTAATTACAAGGTTACACAAAAAATAGGAATATTGATGGGTTTGAGTTTGTAGTTGCTAGGTTGGTTTAGAAAGGCATAGTCGGCCGGGCGCGGTAGTTCACGCCTGTAATCCTAGCATTCTGGGAGGCTGAGGCAGGCGGATCGCTGAAGGTCAGGAGTTCGAAACCAGCCTGAGCAAGAGCGAGATCCCGTCTATACTACAAATAGAAAGAAATTAATTGGCCAACTGAAAGTATATAGAAAAAATTAGCTGGGCATGGTGGCACGTGCCTGTAGTCCCAGCTTCTTGGGAGGCTGAGGCAGGAGGATTGCTTGAGCCTAGGAGTTTGAGGTTGCTATGAGCTAGGCTGGTGCCATGGCACTGTAGCCCGGGCAACAGAGTGAGACTCTGTCTCAAAAAAAAAAAAAAGAAAGCCATAGTCATGTCTAGATACATTCACTACACAGAATAATCTCAGTTTCAATGAGGGCATGCTCCAAAATCAAGGATATTGTGCTATTTTCTAGGGTGCCATAGACAATATTCTATTATATAGAGGCTAACTAAACAAACTGGAATGTTCCAGAATCCTATTTTCTCTTGTTGCTTTTATTATTATCATTATTATTATTATCATCATTCTTTTAAAAATCACTTCTGCTCAAGGTCTAGTCAGGAAAATGAAGAAATAGGCATAAATGTAAATTTATCTCTTTGTTAGATACCTTGATTAAACTATAGAGGAAAATGTTGAAACTATAGACTTATATATGAAGTTTGAAGACTGTTTCTGTGGATTTCATTTATGTCAATCTAGTTAATTGAGCAGGCCTTGTAAAATTAAGACTTGTATTTACATCTTTGATCAAAGTTTATCCTGAAGCACTTACTAGGGTAATTCCTTAAGAAACCCATTTCTATTTGCACATACAATAGTGGGAAGTAAAGATTTTAATCAGAATGATTAATTTTCATGATATATCAGATACAGCTCAATTCCAAGCATAGTAACCAACATGTAGACACCTAATAGTTGCTCATTCCTTTTGATTTTTCCTCCTTTTCTGGGCACAAAATACACCTAGCAGTGATCTGAGCCAATGTTTACCCTTCTGTTTATTTCCCATAGGAGCAGGATAATTAAAGGATACTTTAACATTTTTATAATTGACTTTTTCCCAAATTGTAGGGAATTGTATAATCAACTACATTTTGAATATCAGAGAAACTTGGAGAGTATAATTAAACAAATGAAGCAGTAATATGTAAAAGTTCTACTAACTAAAGATTTTCAGAGTTATAGTGTCATAGAGAATTAACAATAACAGTTGAAACTAGTGTGTTTAGTATAGGTTACAACAATACAAAGAAGCTAATAAAGAAAATACCAGTGAAGGTTTTCCTTTTTATTTTTAAATTTTTTTTTTTTTGAAACAGAGTCTCACTCTGTTGCCCAGGCTAGTGTGCTATGGCATCAGCCTAACTCAGTCTCACTCTGTTGGTGTGCTATGGCATCAGCCTAACTCACAGCAACCTCAAACTCCTAGGCTCAAGCAATCCTCCTGCCTCAGCTTCCCGAGTAGCTGGGACTACAGGCATGCACCACCATGCCTGGGTAATTTTTTTCTATATATTTTTAGTTGGCCAATTAATTTCTTTCTATTTTTTTTTTTGGAGATGGGGGTCTTGTTCTTGCTCAGGCTGGTTTCGAACTCCTGACCTTGAGCAATCCACCCGCCTCAGCCTCCCAGAGTGCTAGGATTACAGGTGTGAGCTACCTTGCCCGGCCAGGTTTTCCTTTCTAAATGTTTCTAAGATTATGGCCCAAGATTTTGGGGAACTTTTGGATATTTGATTTTTCTCTTGCTTAATCATTCATTTCAACTCTATAGCAGCTGTCACAGTGATAATGTCACACACTCATGTAGGAAGATGTGGCCTTTTATTTTGCACATATATAATGCCACTAATTTTCTCTTTTGTAAAATTAATATATTATATTGGATGGCTTTTAAGATCCCTTCCATCTCTGAAAGTCCATGATTTGATAAAAGTCTATAATTAATTATCTTTTGGATCGAAAATAACACTCATAATGATTGCTATAAAATACAGTAACTGTGCAAGTTCTTCTTCTATTCCATGTGTGAACACAGATGCTCTTTGGTTCTTCTGACATATTTTATTTATTTATTTGAGACAGAGTCTTGTTCTGTCGCCCTGGGTAGAGTGCAGTGGCATCATTATAGCTCACAGCAACCTCAAGCTCCTGGGCTTAGATGATCTCTTGCTTCAGCCTCCCAAATAACAGGGACTACAGGTTCGTGCCACCATGCCCAGCTAATTATTCAATTTTTAGTAGAGCCGGGGTGTTGCTTTTGCCCAGGCTGGTCTCAAACTCCTTAGCTTAAGCGATCCTCCCGCCTCAGCCTCCCAGAGTGCTAGGATTACAGGAGAGAGCCACCAGCCCTTCTGATATATTTAAATGATGTTTTGTCTTCTCAAGTGTACTTCTGACAATATCTAGTTTGAGAGCCGTTATATATTGGGAAAAAGAAATGAAAATACTCACCAAGTTATCTAGCTTCGGAAAAGAGGCGCCATGCCTACACTGTAGCAGCATTTTTTCACCAAAATTTTCATAAGCCTTTAAGAAAAATATAAGAAACTCAAATAAAGAAATGGAATGAATAAATGAAATGAATAGCAAAGCTTCAGCTTTAAGGTGGAACATGCCATGTTAATTATTTTATCTAATCACACCCTTGTTAGAGAGGGTCCTCAAAATCAAGCTTAATCTGTCGCTTGATGAGCAACAGAGTAGGGTGAAAGATGAGTGGGAGAGAAAATGACACAATGTATTTTGTACTTCTAGTGCAATGGGAACAAAAACAGACTTCTCTATGGGGAAACGTACAAAAGCTTAGTATTAAAGGAGATCTAAGTACGGTGGAAGAAAACTTGTAAGAAAACAAATACACCAGATAAAGCAAGGAGTTTAAAGTTTTATCAGATGAGTCTGCAAACAATGATTATAAAACCAACATCAAGGAATGCAATAAGGACATCAGTTAACGTCTATGAATTACATTCATTATTTGGCATTATATAATTTATGCTGATAATCTCTAATACTCACCCAATGCCAGTTAGATGCTGCAATATATAGAAAATGACTTTGACTTTGAACTTTGTTAGCCTCTCTTGGAGATATATTTTTAATGGTCTAGTGGAAATGCCAACAAATTGCTGAAGCCAGGGGAGATCTCAAGGAGCAAGACACGTTTATTTCTTAATAATAAAACAAAAATGCTTCATGCAGATGTCATATCCATTACCAAAAATGCTCAAAATAAAGAAGATTCTTCCTTGTCAGAAAGGCTGGCATAGCAAGGTCACATTTAAGCTCTGTTGTAGACCTGCAGAACCAATCAGCTTTGAGGAAAATGGTTTTGCCATCTCAAGATTTTAAGGTAAAAAAAAAATCCAATTTAAAATTTATAATGTGTTATTACAGGAGCTGTAAAATCAAGTCTCTTATTATGTATAATAATAGTCCAGGAAAACGAGCTTACAGCAGTAAGATTTAGAAGATGCTTTCCTTGGTGAATTTGGGTTTTGAAGTATAGAAACTTTGTTTGTACAAAGATGTCTTAGGAACAAAAGTGAATATTAACTATATGCTATTGCCATAAATCATTAGCTTTCATCAAAAGGCAAGCCTATGTATATATTCAGTTTTATGCATTTAATTATTTTTACATGTAATTAAAATGATCTGGAATGTCATATCCATGGACAACTCAGTCACATGATTTCATTTGTATTACATAAGGCTAGAAGAATTTTGGAAGAGCTGGGTAAAATGAACTCTAAGCTATTCATGATAATACGTGAAGATAGGAATTGAGAAATTCCTATTCACTGAAGGGGTTATGTTATGAATTTTTTTCTGAAATATGACTTTCCATAATAAAGATTCCACTTTTTAATACATAGGCCAATTATACTTTTAATTGACAAGAGCAAGCTTTGCCATCTTTGCTGAAATTGGATTCTCCTGTTGTCTTATGGCTTCATGAGAGAAAACATTTGTTGTGGTGATATTTGCTTATGTTAATGTTAGGATTTAAAAACTAAGAATGACTGAATTTGATGCCTAAAGCTGGTTCCTACCTGGTACGATTGTGCACATCCATTCATCCAGTGGTTGCACATGGTGCTGTTCTTCCAAGGCATAAGAAGTGCCATGTCCTTTCTCTTGGGCCAGATAACACTGCCTTTCTTAGCTTCCCCTGTTCCCCAAATTTAGTGCCACAAAGAATAAAATTGTGCTAGAATATTTGACTTTAAGTGAGGAATATCTTTTAAGTCTGTGTGTTTCCAAGATGTGCAAAGGTATATCTGCTTCAAGTGCTTGGTTGCCCTTGTCTGATTTTGTAGAAACTGAGTAGCAATTATAAACACGTATGTCCATTGAGATGAATTTGCAGATGGTAGGACACCTAGGGGACAGCGTATTCTTGGAGGTGAAGTGGGAATTGCGAAGCTGGATGACCTGGCCTGTGCTTGTGCCATTCCCATGGAGGCAGGATCTTTGATCTTGACCTTAGCCAATTTTTAATATCCTCTCATTGCTCTAGATTTTAAGCCAGTAGGACCAGAAAAGTATTTTGATTTCTTACACTAGCTAAGGTAGAAAAAGGCTGGGTTTTAGAGCTGCCAGTTCTGAGTTTAAACCTTCCACAAATTATCCAACTGTTCAGTTTTCTGTTCAGTAAAATGAAGGAAATATTATCTACCCCATACGTTTTTTCTAAGAAATAACTGAAATAATAAATGTAAAACACCTGGCCCCTGAGGATGACTACTGGTGGCTGACTTATCAATGCATGGAGGTACTTTTATGGAACCATGTTATATTCATACCTTAGAATGATTTACTAAGGATCTAAGAGCAACAAACACGGTCATAGTTCTCAGAGCAAATAGATCCTCTTCTATAGCACAGCTATTGAGCTGAATTTCTGTGGATTTTTATTAGCAGAGCACCCCAATACTGCAGGATCACTACATTAAGCCCCTAAAATCTGGGTCTTAGGGATCCATTACTGGGGCCACGTAGCATCCTTAACCTTGACTTGTCTCTGAAACCATTTATACAGCATATTCTTAGGCCCTAGATCTGAGAAACTCTTCTAACATAAGAGAAGAAAAGGTGCAGGTTAAACTCTTGCTGATAAAATGGTTAATAATACTTTACTCCACAGACATTTCCGAACAGGCTTCTTCATGTAAAACCCTGTCTTACATGGCCTCCTATCCTGCATGGAATATCAGGATAGGAAATTTTCTGAACTAGAACTCAGAAGTGGATTCAAATTCTGCCTCCCGTAACTTACTTGTTTTACAATCTTGGTCAAGTGACTTCATCTCTTTTAGCTTTACTTTCCTCGTTTGTAAATTGAGAGATAATAATACTATTCCTTTCATGGATTTATTGAGAATTTAATGAGATAATCCATTTAATGCTCTTAGCACTGTATCTCAAATAAATGTTATAAATAAATAAATAGATAAATAAATGTTATCCATTATAATTATTATTAGAGCTTTCCTAAGCTTTTATTTACTGATCACTGACACATTTACTAAAGATTTCTGAAGAACATTTCTCCTCATCGTGCTTATTTACTCACTAAGAAAAGACAGAAAAACAAACAAAAGAACCTCCAAAAGAGCAATCGAACATCTACATAAACAGAATATGGAAGAGAGAAACCGGATCATAAAGTTCATCTGATTCTGTTCAATTTAAATCTGGCTTTTGGTCTAGAAAAAGTTACTCAGTAACTGTTGGTGGGTGGTTATTGGGACCACCCTCAGATGTAGTGTTTACTTTTTTTTCTTCAGATAGAGTCCCACTTTGTTGCCCAGGCTGGAGTGAGTGTTGTGGCGTCAGCCTAGCTCACAACAACCTCAAACTCCTGGGCTCAAGCAAATCCTCCTGCCTCAGCCTCCTGAGTAGCTGGGACTACAGCCACCATGCCCGGCTAATATTTTCTATATGTATTAGTTGGCCAATTAATTTCTTTCTATTTATAGTAGAGACAGGGTCTCGCTCTTGCTCAGGCTGGTTTTGAACTCCTGACCTGGAGCAATCCGCCTGCCTCGGCCTCCCAGAGTGCTAGGATTACAGGCATGAGCCTCCATGCCTGGCTAGAAAAAAATCTCTTTAAGAAGAACACAGAATTAGGTAAGAATGTAAATGAATGTTTGTTTTGATAAGAAAAAAATGGAAAAGAACAAATAGATAACAAAACAAACATTGATAAGAAAAAAATTGCAACAAATTTCAGATTTTCAAAAGGCGACAAATAGTACAAATATCACAAAATCCAGAAAAATAACATCATTTCTTCTAATTTCCTGATACACCTCTATAATGGCATCTGATTCTGCACATTTCAAGGCTCATTTGCCCTCAACTACCCATATGTTTCTAATGCCAGCTGCCATGGCCACATTCTTATTGCAGGATGACCTCTGGCCTCGCGTCTTCGGATCACATGCGGAATGAGCAGGCATTGAGAGTCAGGCATGGAGGCAGGAGTGTTCCTGGAAGACATTCCTACATGAGCATGTTTTGACTACACACAGACACTTCTTTGAATCACATAAAGGTATACCACTAGACCCAAACTAAATGTCTCCCCGTCTCAACATCTTTAAAATACCCATGGCTCTTCCAGCATCATTTGATTTTAGGAGAAGTGTGATGAAGGGAACTTGGGAGTGGAAAGAGACAACAGTCTTAACCAATTGTGGGCAAATTTTATAAAAACTGATGGCCATGTGAACACATTGCTGGGCCCTCCTAGGGTGTGCAAGAGGGCTGTGCTTCCTTAGTTTTGGGATGACTTCCGCCTCTGACCCTATATTGAGCCTGTCTGCGAACTTTCTGCTTGTACCTACCTTCTAATTTGACTAGCCTTATTACTAGGTCCTGCTGTGAACTGTCCAAAAAACTTTTTGAGAAGATATATATGTATGTTTCCATAAATAATTTAATTAATAAAATAGTGACAACAAACTCTGCCTAATCATTGTTTTCTTATAGTGAAGGGCAATTTAGAATGTATAATGGTAATAACCTCATTTACTGTGCTCTAAACACTTTAGATGCCTTATTTATATTCACAAAAACCCATATGGGATAGGTACTATGATCCCCCACCAAGAATTTGGAAAAAATGGAATCTTTGTGAAGTTAAATAACTTGCTCAAGGCCAAGTGGTAGAATGGGGATTTGAACCTAGGTCTGCTTGAGGTTAATCACTTCACTGTAAATGGTGTAGACGTATGTAGTGGGTATGTTTTACCAGTGGTGTCAGGACACCAGGATCAATAATCTATAAAGATCTTCTCTCTAAAAACGAAGTGTGGTATGGACTTAAATAAATAGGCTTGTGAAATTTTAATTCCAAGCACTGACATAAATTGTGATTTTTTAAAAAGTCTGATTGCATAGAAAGCAAAAAAGAAAAAGGCTTGGTTCTCTTGAAAGCAAGAAAATATTCCCTTGGTACTGGAAATGTAGTGAATGCTGGGTGGAACGAATCAACCTTTAAATCAACAGTTAGCAGA